TTCTATGATTTTGACACACCAATGACCAAGGATATTTTATTTAATATAATACCAGAAATGCATAGAGTTGGATTTGAGGTGGCCGCTATTGTTAGTGACATGGGACCCACTAACATAGGGCTATGGAAAACCTTAAAGATAAGTCCATCTTTTTCTGGTTTTAATAATCCTGTAACAAATAAAAAGATTTATGTTTTTGCTGATGTTCCCCATTTAATCAAGCTAGCTAGGAATCACTTTATAGATAAAGGATTTGTTCTCCCTGAAGATGTTTATATAGGTAAACAAATCATTGAACAATATTTAAAAGTCTCTAAACCATCAGATTTTAAGCTTGCGTACAAACTATCTGAACAACATCTAAATGTGACTGGAAGTTTAAGACAAAATGTGAAGTTGGCTGCCCAATTATTTTCTAATGGTGTAGCAAAAGCTCTCAAATATTGTGGTGAAAATAAAATAATAGAAAATAACAATTGGGAAAAGGTTTGTAAATTACACTCATAACTTTTTCATTTTTATCATATTAATTTATTTTATTTTATTAATCATTAATGTATACATACTAATAGACTTCAGAAGTAGTTCAGCTGTTTAATGATTGGTTCGATCTCATGAACACACAACTTCCTATAGACAGATTTACAAAAAGTTACGGGTTAGATTTAGAAAATCAAAATACATTATTAGATAAAATGGATAACTTTATTACAAATATGAAAGTTCATGGGAGTAATCGCAGACTACCTTTTCAAACTGGTATATTTCTTAAGTTTATATGCACATTGCATACAACACAACAATTCAACTTCATATTCATTTCTAGGCATATTGGTAACAAATGCTTCGATAAAAAGTCTGTTAATAGATTTGAAAAAAGATTATAAAAATATCACATATATTATGACAAGGAAAGTCAATTTGGATGTAGTTGAGAATTCATTTAGTTACCTGAAAGGAATGGTTGGATCAAATTCCCATATTTCACCTCTAGAATTCAAATATTGGTTTAAAAATTAAATTATTTTAATTCAGAATAGATAGATACTTACCAATATTTTATTTTCAGTTTGCGCTGGTATTTACTAGGTAAACATTCAAATATGATATTCACAGAGCATCACAACACCGAAGATACAACTGAGAGTTGTTTAATTGAATGTTTATCTGGATCTACATTTAAAAAAGCAAACTTCTTAAAAAACATTAGTACTATTAATAATGATATAGTGGATGAACAGCTGGCTAATTTAGAGACGGAATTTGGAGGTACAACAAATATTGAAGTATCAGAAGAAAGTATAGAACTATTGAAAAATTTTGAACAAGAAGTAATACATTATACTCATGCATATATTATATTATTATAGGTACTTATGTATTATCAATGAAGTTTGAGTTTAAATTATTTACAGGTATTAAAAAATAGTTTGAACACTCAACTTACAACAATAGAACGTGATTGTATAGAATATGTTACTGGGTCAGTAGCGATAAAGTTTATTTTTAAATATCCTTACTTAGGCAATACTGATAACTCCGACAGAACCACAAAGAATTGGATAGATTGTGTATCTTTAGGCAATTTAATTTATCCTTCAGATGACTTGTTGAAGACTGCAAGACTCCTTGAAAACATTTTTAATGATTATCATGGTGAAAATAATTTAAATAAATTTCCAGGTACTTACTTTATAATAATTCTAAATAATTGGATCAATCACAATTTTTAAATGTTTATTTAGGTGTAATAACCAAAGTGGCTAATGATGTTCTTGAGCAATTAAACATTCTCAAAATATCCATCCCGAATGAGGTAGTCCAATGTTTAGTTAGCACAAGAACTTTTATAAGACTAAATAATTTAAACAAAATAATTTGTGATAAAGTATTACAAACCAAAAGAAATAAACTAAGAAAATTTATATCATAATAACAATTTGTTTCTACAATTATTATATTTATTTTTTTTAAATACATTGATTTTATTTCTATTTTATAAAATCTAAGTTGATTAAAGTGAATTGTAATTTTGTGATTTAATTCCATTGGTATCAGTATTTCATAAAAAGTGTAATAGTAGTAGTAATATCATAGAACCATATAGTAATAGCAATATAAGTGTCGCCATGGCTAAATATTAAAAAATTTTCCCATGAGTATTGAGTAATGAGTGTCACTTTTAAGATACAAAAATTTGTTCTCTCAACTTTTGTCTTGTGATGTTAGAAACTTAGAATATGTTACATGATGTTTTCACTTTAGATTGTGAGTCACATGGCTAAATAGTTATGTCACAACTCACAAGACAAATTAAAAAATATGCGGGTATTGATAAGAATTCCTTCCGGCTGACGTCATCGACATGCGTATCATGGAACTAAGATCATACCTAGTTATTTAGCCATGAATTACATAAAATCGTTACTTTTTTTACATAACTTATAGGCCTGTGACTTCAAATTTTTAATCTGTTGTGTATAGACTATAGATGTTACTATGTTAGTATGATACTAAATATTTGATGGCATTTGTATTAAGATTAAGTATGTATGAAAAAGTAAAAACTCATCTTGTATAATTGTTTATTAATTGTTAATATAATTATTAATTTTTACATAATTTCATGTCATAACACTCATAACACAACATAATATAATATTATTGATTGCAATTTTATTGATTTTATTGATTACTTGATTGTAATCCTTCTCACTAGCTGGAATTAGTTTAATGCTCTTAAAAACTTCTTCGAAAAAACCAGGTTTTGCATTTACTGTTGAGGTCCAATTAGCGATTGAAGATGGATTAGGAAGAGTTAGAATAGTACTGAAAAATTATACACAAATAATTATAATAACTTATATCAAGTACAGTGGTTGCCGTTTATAGTGTTCACTGGTTATAAGAATCAGAAACTTACGGTGTTTTCTAGTTATATCAAAAAAATAATCAAAATACTCTCGGACGAATGCGATCACTATAAGCGGCAGACAATGTATATTTGAATAAAATAAAAATAGTCATTCATATTAATAGAAAAGCATGAATTACCGGCAGAAGTTATAAGCTTTTGGTGAATAGTAGTGCAAGGTTAAGGCAAACTCTTTCATTTCTTTTGTATAGCGACAACCTGTACCTTTTTTACTGTTTTTTAATTCATTTTTAAATAAGTCCAATATAATACCTATTGGTTAATATTAAATGAGCTTCAAAAAAATGCTTAGAAGCAGAAAAAGCAAGCAGAATATTTTATAAACAAATTTTTAAACATTGATATTTACCGCTGAAACTATTTTCTATTATATTTACTGGTTAACCATCGATTAAGCCTTTACTTTTCAAATCACTCAATAATTCTTGCAGGTTAAATATTTTTTTTTCTTCTCTTCTTAACTTTTGCTGCAATGTTCTTATTTTTTTTTTCAATAAAAGTTCACTGATGTAAGTATTAACTGTTTGAACTTCTTTATTATTGGTAGTAAGAACTATTTCATCAAATGTTCCAACTTTATCATATTCCAATTTAATGTCATCAGAAGTTCTAATTTCATCACCTTCCAATCGAATGTCATCAGAAGTTCGAATTTCATCATCAACTAATCCTAATGGAATGTCATATTCTGCTAGATTTGAATTAAATATTTTTTTTAATAGTCATTAGATATAAATTTAATTAAGTTGTAATTTGTATAGTTTAATTTAATTTAATAAGTACCTGCTGCATTGAAATTTGAATCTTCAATTTGAATGAGATTTCTTTCAAAAGGTTCTTTTCTTGGAACTTTGGACGCCTTTTGGTAATAAGGAAATGCAGGGAACACTGTCGGCACAGCATTGTTTTTTAAAAATATTTTTTTATTATTAGCCAGTTTTACTTGATAATTTTCATCAACAAAATGATCACTGCATAAACGGCTCCATTTCGTTGGTGTAAAATTCTTTCTTTTTATGGCAGAAATCCATTTTTTATTCAGATTAACATTGGCTAAAGGAAATCTATAATATTCAAAATAATTATTCTCAGATACACAAACTATATGTTATATATATATGACTTGTTATTTAAAAGTTTAATATCCTTACTATAATATTCTACTATAATTGGTTATTATTATATTAACATAACTTACCGAAAGAAATGTATATTTTGCCCAGCTTGGTATCTGTTCGTGCATCCATATGCAGCACACGAAACAGGCATTGCACTATTTTTGTAAGTTGTATCCTAAAATTCTGAATACAATGACGTTCAGTCTATAATATTATATAGAATAATTTCAACGTTTTGCCAACCACGAAATGAGCGATAACGGATTATTACTATTAGTTACACTTCATCACAGATATAGATAATAAACTAGATTGCTAACTAGTATAAATTGACAAGCAAGCCGGGAGACGCCGATTTTCCGCCATGTTGCTTGTGGGCTAGGGTCTTTTATCAATGCTTATCGTTGTGATAATACTGCAGATAAAATAAATGTTATTATGATAATATTATTATTATTATTATAAACCACATATTAGTACACAGCAAGTTTGTGGCATTTTAAATAAAAATTTTTTTTTATACAGATAAAGTAAAAACTAAGTAAAAACTTCTAGTTTTGTCAAAACGCTAATTAAAATATCATTACATTTTAACAGCATAGGCTCTTTTGATTATTGTTTTTATTAAGATTAAAGGGTGTTGGCACAAATATAGATAATAAATAGAGAGTTTATTATTATTATCTGTGGTTGGGTATCGTTTATTTTTATATATCCGTGGAATCCGTGGATTTGAAATACCCGCCAAATAATAAATTAAGTATCACGTTAATCATATTATTATGATAACACTTCACAGCCCACAACAAACATGGCGTTTTTTGGCGACAGCTGATAACACTAGTTAGCAATCTAGTTTATTATCTATATCTGTGCACTTCATACGATAACGCGAGTACCTTATCTAGTATAATATAGATATCTATGTCTGCACGTCGCAGCAAGAGATGGTCGCAGCTCACGGCCGCCGGTGCTGTCGGCGCCTCCGTCGAGTCCGGCGGTACCAAAAAACTGTGAACATCACCGATTATTGTAAAAATTCCCGTCACGATGCGACACTGACCTGCCCCACTTCAACAAAGAGCTCCGTCGCCGGCTCGGCACCATCGCCACCGTCGTCAGGTCTCTACAGCGGAATTACTCTTTTTACAACCACCGCCTGGACCAGTTCTTTTTTGTGTAATCATCTGCTCGTCTCGCTGCCCGGTCAAACCTCGTGGTCAGACCAGCTACTCCGTCCGGCGAAGCCTACGTTCCTGTTTTTAATACGTCAAGTCAACGACGCCATGATGGGCTAGTACGCCACTGTGGGCCCCGTTGTTGGGCAAAGCGGTCCTGGACCAGTGACCGATGCAGATGGGCCACGTCGACCGCGCGTGTGTCGACGGCCATCTGGCCAGCCCATCGGTCAACCCTCAACAGTCTCATCGTTCCGTCGTCAGCAAAAAGTGTAATGTACAAAATACCCCCCCCCCCATGTCCCTCTTTTTGTTATATTATTCTTTTACTTTAATATGAGTATTTGGTATGCGTTAGATCTTGTGCAGGACATATTTCTTTTTTTGTTTCTTCCCGTACTTATCGTCCTTCGCGATATGCCGGACGGTGACCCTATTGTTGGCGATGTAAAAATGTACAAAATTATATCTTTTCCGCCAGACCTCGTGGGCCGATCTGTGGGTTGGCTCAGTCCAAAACATTATAATTTTCCTATAAATGCCATGTGCCAAATTATTATACAATCTTATGTAATTGCCCTGTGCCAAAATATACTTTTATAATTGCCATGTGGCAAACAGTTGTTAGGTGTTAAACACACCAATGCCATATTATTATCATTAGTATTATTATTTACAAATATTATTTATTGCACGTTATGCGACCATGTAAAATACAATGATCCATAATTACCCTAACCTTCTCTTTTTTATTTAATTTTATTAATATTCTGTTTTCTTCTCCCCTTAAATAAATCTGTGGAATTCACTTTCCCAGCGTGTAACAAAGCCTACAAGTTCCATTGACTTGGCCTTAGGGCTAACACGCGGTGCGGCTTGTAGGTCACGATATCAGTGTTCCCCAGACGTCGTGGGTGGATTATAAGGACTTGAAAAATCTTAAATTCTCACATACTTTAAATTTTATTTTTATTCCCAACCCCATGTATACTTTTGTTATCCAGTAATTATTTTCAGAAATACTCCTGTCAGTGTGCGTGCTGGTTTGGAAGCGGCCGCGGCAGTGGCGTTTCGATAGTGATGGTGTGGGTGGACAGCTGCGGAACAAGACAACAGGACACTACAAACGACCAGTCTCTCCCTTTGGTATGATTTTATATATTTCCCCTTGTGATCCCCCCCCCCCTTATTACTTATTCTCTAGACCCATATCTCCACCCTTGCATAACGATGTTAGATTCATTTTGTATTTTTGCTGCGATAACTTACAGTTTTTTCCCCAGACCACATGCTCAACTTAATATTATTATGTTAAAAATCTGCGGATTAATAATATTATTATATTTATTACTATGGTTAACTTAAATCTGCGAATTGATTATTATTATGTCTTATGTTATTATATGATAAATTTATAAACAATTATTTTTCTTGGTAGATGAAACACAAAAATATCATTATTCTTATTAAAATTACATCATGTTAAAATCTTTCAAAAGAGAATATCAAAGTATTATTAATGTCAATGTAAAAATCTATTTATTCAAAAATTAAATTCAATCAAATTAAATAACTCACATATTCACAACAATTAATAAAAAACTCTTACTCTTTGTAAATTATGACTTATTATTAAAATCAACAACCGATATTATTTCTCTTGCAAGAGGTCCACACAATTATTCTCTTTAAAAAATATTATGTTTCTCTTTAGTACAAGACTTATAATAATATTATATACTTATACTAATATACTATAAACTAGTTCATTAATTTTTTTTTTCTTCAACTTGAAAGTAAATTGTTTATTATCATTAATTTGTTTACCTTTAATATTAAACTTAGTATAGTAAATGTTTCTTTCCTCATTTGGGAGTATTTCATTGTATATTAGCTTCGTGTTCCCTTGACCAGTGTTATTGCCTTATTGGCCTTTCTTGGGAGAAAACTTTTATTATATTCAAACTCTCACAAGTAATAAAACAGGTATTTGGTATCTTAATTTCATTTTATATTACAAATCACATGATTCTATTGATAATAAAAAAAACAACGCATTAAATAATAATATACCGCCTACATATTATGTATATTGGATATTGTACTATTCATAATCAGTGCTATTGTTGGAACGGGTTTTGTCTCCTCAATAATTTTACTTAATATTTATTATTTATAATATAAAATTAGAAATAAAAATCATACAGTAGACAAGTAGACTAATGCAATTTTATTATGACAGTACTATGTAGTACAATTTAATCAGCTGTACCTATTTGTGCAAATAAAACATTTTTATAGTTTACCATATTTCTAAACGTATATTTCTAGCGCGTTATAAGTAGAATTTCGAAATTTTTTCCAGTAATCATAAAGTTAGCTGTGACAATGGCAGAAACTTAGTTGACATCCATTGACTTGATATCCATACACATTTTAAACAGAATATTGAATGTTGCTGCTTTATAACAAAGTTCTTGGATTCATCATCGTCTTTATCCCATATTAAACTCTCCCACTTGTTCTTGGATGTTTCTAATTTATGTTTAATAGATGTATGCAACTGAAAAACAATGAAATAGTTACATTGCTGTATGCTTAACATATTGTTTGCGAGTGCTGTCAAATATTGACTATACACAGCTATATTCTAAGTGGCATTTGTCCCAAAAAAGTGGTTTAATATTATCTTCATACCAACATATAAGGCATATACTCAACAAGTAGTAGATGTCTTCAAATTAATTTTATTGAGCAATTTTCTGGTTTACTACGGGTGGACCATTTTGTAAAGCCCAACTTTCTCTTTGTTGAACTCTTTTTCACCTGAATTTTTATGATTTGTATTTTTAGTGTCATGCCTAGTGCATCTAAAATACTTCCTACTCAATTATTTTATCAATAACAAATACTCAACAAGTACTACTCAAATGCACCTGCTTCAAGTCAACAAATAAAGTTATTCTAAGTTTTTTCTTCAGTATGTGTCCTTGAATGAGTTTTTTCCTGATTATCAAAACTCATTCAAGGACACATATTGGATAAGGACCTTACTAATGTGATCTTTGTAATAAATATTTATAACAGAACAAAATATAAGGAATACATTTCTCTTTCTTTTAATTAGATAGTATCTTTTTTATATTTGTATAATGTATAATTATATTTTGATGTTATAAAATAAGTTTAGTTCATTTACCTTAAGACTATTATTATAAATTGTATTATAATTCAATCTATGTAATATACTAACAATGTATTGTAACTATACACCTTAGGTACCAGCTGTAAAACAATTTTAGATTAGTTTATAATAGATGTTTCTAATATATGTTTAATAGATGTATGCAACTGAAAAACAATGAAATAGTTACATTGCTGTATGCTTAACATATTGTTTGCGAGTGCTGTCAAATATTGACTATACACAGCTATATTCTAAGTGACATTTGTCCCAGAGAAGTGGTTTAATATTATCTTCATACCAACATATAAGGCATATACTCAACAAGTAGTAGATGTCTTCAAATTAATTTTATTGAGCAATTTTCTGGTTTACTACGGGTGGGCCATTTTGTAAAGCCCAACTTTCTCTTTATTGAATTCTTTTTCACCTGAATTTTTATTATTTGTATTTTTAGTGCCGTGCGTAGAGCATCAAAAATACTTCCTACTCAATTATTTTATCAATAACAAATACTCAACAAGTACTACTCAAATGCACCTGCTTCAAGTCAACAAATAAAATTATAGTCAGTTTTTTCTTCAGTATGTGTCCTTGAATGAGTATTTTCCTGATTATCAAAACCCATTATAGGACACATATTGGAGTAACGACCTTACTAATGTGATCTCTGTAATACATATTTATAACAGAAGGAAATATAAGGAATACATTTCTCTTTTTTTTTAATTATATAGTATCTTTTTTACATTTGTATAATGTATAATTATATTTTGATGTTATAAAATAAGCTTAGTTCATTTACCTTAAGACTAATATTATAAATTGTATTATAATTCAATCTATGTAATATACTAACAATGTATTGTAACTATACACCTTAGGTACCAGCTGTAAAACAATTTTAGATTAGTTTATAAACTTAAATATCTATTTATTATGAATTATAGCTTAAGGACTTAAATGTCACTTAACAATAAACACTTCCTACCCAATTTTTTTTATCAATAACAAACACCTACTCAACAAGTTCTACTCAAATGCACCCACTTCAAGTCAACAAATAAAATTATTTATTTTATTTTAAACTTAAATATCTATTTATTATGAATTATAGCTTAAGGACTTAATTATATCTCAATTATAAACAAATTAATCAAATATCAATATAATAGTGTTACTATAATCTATACCAGCGTTTCTTAAACTGTGTGAGTTCCACGAAACTTAAGTGTTCAAATTCACATTATTCTATGTATTTTACTGGTATTTTAGCATGCCAAGTCATAATAATATAACTATATTTCATAGTTAAATTTTATTAGGTAAACAATATGATTTAGGTAAATACAGTTTGCTAGACAATGTTTTTTAACTTTAAATTACTTAAAATTAAAACAACGATAATATTTTGATATTTTATCTATTAATAACTATTAACAATTTTGTTTAATACATTAGGTACCTAATTATTAACATTTTTACCATAAATTGAAAATTTCACTTAACAATAAACACTTCCTACCCAATTATTTTATCAATAACAAATACTCAACAAGTACTACTCAAATGCACTCACTTCAAGTCAACAAATAAAATTATTGTAAGTTTTTTCTTCGGTATATGTATTTGAATGAGCTGTGCTATATTATCAAGACTCATTCAAAAACACATATTGGAGTAACGACCTTACTAATGTGATCTCTGTAATACATATTTATAACAGAAGGAAATATAAGGAATACATTTCTCTTTTTTTTTAATTATATAGTATATTTTTTATATTTGTGTAATGTATAATTATATTTTAAAGTTTTATTATAAGCTTGGTTAATTTCCTGAAGATTAATATTATAAATTGTATTGTAATTAAATATATGTAATCAACTAACAATGTATTGTAACTTTACACCTTCGGTACTTGCTGTAAAACAAT